CACGTAATGAGTTAAATCAGTAAATATATGACATTTATGCTTGTAACACACAGAAAGGAAGGAATAGGGTGACTCTTCAGTGAAAAAGTGCTTCTAACTTACTAAATGTGACATGAATTTCCTTAATACATTGTTTCACATACACTGTATATTACATTATCCTTTAAATGGATGCTTTGCAAAGTTTGGTTGTGCTGTGATTTGATGGTAACACTGTGAGGTCAAGTTGTAGTTTATGGCCTTTGTGTGAAGCTGGCGGGTACTTAAGTTATATCTATATTTTGTTAATCTGGTCACATCAAATAAATAGCACTTTTTTTGACAAGCACGGGATTTAGTATTAGTTATCCCACAGCAGTGTGCACTTGTGATGCAGTGATGTGCTTAGGTTATTTAATAGATGGGAAAAACAGATGCTCAACAAGTTTTAGGATAAAAACATCTACTTTAGGTTAGTTTTTTTGAGACATGGTTTTGCTAACAAACCTGCTACCTCTTTTTGCTTGTTGCTTCCTCTACAACAGAGATAATTTGGCATCATTTAGTATGGCAAATATTTTGAGTGTGCACGTTCTTGGGATAGAAAAAGAAATGCTATTAGTGATGTTTTCAATCCTATATACTTTTTCTCCACTTTTTTTTTTTGTCAGGTCAAAATTTTTTCTGATGCTATTAGATCAGTTTTAGGAAAGGCTTGTAAGATAAGTGTGCTGGCTTGTTGCAAAGTAAATATATAGATAATGGCTAGCACAAGTGCACTTGAATTGTGAACTTCTATTAACTTTATGTATTATCTGTGTACTTGGTAGTAACAAAGAATTTCAAACCAATTTCCTCAGCTTTGAATAACTTTTGGTCTAAACCTCAACACAAATAGTTGTGAAAGCATTTTTTCCACAGGAAGGAGAAGGTGGGCAGTGAAAGCCTCTGACAACTGTTGGGTATTGCTTTCCCTCAGACACATGCAGGGTGCTGTGCCTGAACATCTTTTAGCAAAGAACATCTGTAACTATCTATTACATTAGTGGAACATCTCTCAGAGATGTCAGTGGGGAAGAGGGAAGAAAGAAAACCTTCATGATTTGGGATGGTGCTAAATTGTTGAATTGACTGTGCCCAGCTGAAGAGCAAAGGGAAGGGCTTTGACTCCGACTTTTAGATATTTTTTTTAAGGTTTTTTTTTTTTTTATGTTTGGGTTGAAAAATCATTTCCTAGTGTGCAGACTTATTTCTTTGTGCTGGAAATTGGCTTAGAACAGACTGAAAGCATTTCTTAAAATTCTGCTAGCATAACAAGTGCGATAACTAGGTTGAAGTAGCAGCATAACCTGACTTTACCTTTAATGATCAATGCTACTTGGAGAGTATCTGCTGCTCTGTGTCGTCTCTCCAGCATCACACATAAATTAGGCTGTTACATTTTTGTTTCTTTTGTTCATCCTATGGATGTGTCGATCACTCTAAACCCTTCCCAGAGTGCTGGCAAGCAGTCTGACAACATCCCCACTGGCAGAGCAACCCCTCGCAGTTTCCTAGGAAACACGGCCCCCGAAATGCCCTGCGAAGAGCAGCAGGAAGAATAAAAGGAATGAAGACAGTTGCTTTGGGATTTTTACCCCCTAGTTCTTTACTCTTCCAAACAATATCAAATATGTAAGCAATCTACTACAAATAATAGCATCAGTGTGGTGATCGGGTTGTCTGTTGTAACATGCCTACAATAGTCATGTGCTAATCACTGAGGAAATAGAGCAAGAATGGAGTTATCTGTCTTTGTGGATTAGAGTCCAAATTTTGGTTCTTGCTTTTCATGTCAGTGATTTTTCAGCTTTTGATAATGTCTGCAGGCGTTGTTGGAGTCCTGTGGTCAGTTATGAGGCTAACACAGCGAGGCTACAGGGAAGTCATATACATATTTCTCTGTTGAGGAAAGCCATCGCTTCTCCTAAGGTGGAAGAAGAAAAGAAGAAAATGTTTTTCACCTGCTTCTTCTTAATGTTCACCTTTCTTTGAACCCTATAAATTACATCCTGGAATGGCAGGGTTTGAGTCTGTTGCTGACAGAAATGTCTGCAACAATAAATGATTCTGATAAAGAAAAAGCAAGGGCTTTATTATTTGTATTATCACTCTTGCACAGGGCAAATAGCTTATTTCTACTGCAACTGCAGTGGCTTCAGTGGAGAACGGACCAGGAAAAAACTTGCCACATTATTTTGTTCCTTGCAGATTCTTCTATGGCTCTCATCATACCAGAACTCACATTATTCCTAGATGGCCTATTAATTGATGTGAATAAAACCTCTTAGGTGATTTTGGGGGTTGTTTTTGCTGTTTTCTTTTTTAACAGAAAGCAGGGAGTTTTATGGTGATGCTGTGTTCTTATGGAAAATAAATTCAGTAGCTGTAGTAGGAACCTTCCTTTTCACATAGTTTTTACTCTGTGAACAGCAGTGAAGTACTGTGAGAACTGAATTGTTAACTATGACCTTTATGCTGATGCTTTGTGCTCAGGTATGTTCTATTGCTGTAACCTAGAGAAGGATGAAGGCCAGTAAAGTCTTCTAACCAACTATAGATATTAGGAAAAAACACAGTGGAGTAATTGTAGTAAAATATGGGCTTCACAAGAAATCTAGGAATTTCAAATGATATACCAATGTTCCTTTTTTTCTGTCAATGTAAAGGAAGCTATGCCATTTTTGCAGACACTGGTGTTTTGTTCTACCTCCTAGAATAACTTTTGAACTGATCCAGCAGGTCAAGGGAGGTGATTCTGCCCCTCTACTCCGCTTTTGTAAGGCTCCACCTGGAGTACTGCGTCCAGTTCTGGAGACCCCAACATAAGAAAGACATGGACCAGTTAGAACAAGTCCAGAGAAGGGCCACCAGGATGATCCGAGGGCTGGAGCACCTCTCCTATGAAGACAGGCTGAAAGAGTTGGGGCTGTTCAGCCTGAAAAAGAGAAGGCTCCGGGGAGATCTTATAGCGGCCTTCCAATACCTGAAGGGGCTACAAGAAATCTGGGGAGGGACTTTTCATAAGGGTAACTAATGACAAGACAAGGGGAAATGGGTTTAAACTGAAAGAGGGGAGGTTTAGATTAGATATTAGGAAGAAGTTCTTCACTGTGAGGGTGGTCAGACACTGGAACAGGTTGCCCAAGGAAGTTGTGGATGCCCCCTCCCTGGAAGTGTTCAAGGCCAGGCTGGATGAGGCTTTGAGCAACCTGGTCTAGTGGAAGGTGTCCCTGCTGATGGCAGGGGGGTTGGAACTGGATGAGCTTTAAGGTCCCTTCCAATCCAAACCATTTGATGATTCTATGATGCAGTGATTTTTCATCTGTGGTAACAGATGTTCTTAGTAATAATGCTGTAATATATACACTGCTAAATAATGTTTTTCTAGACCTTTTTATCCATATCTTCTTGTTAGTCATTCTAATCTGTCTGCAGCCAGGTTTAAAAAGAAAGCCTCAAAGGATTCTGCAGGTAAAGACTCCATAAATGGTGATAAGATTAGTCTTAGGTGGTTCTAACTTGCTCTAAAGAACTTTGATTCAAAGTGCTGGTCTTCAGAAAACCTGGGGATGTAAGGTGAAAATCCAGTGAAAGCTGAAACTACCCCTTTGGTGCTATTATATCTATAATAGTGCTATTATGCTATATATGGCTTGAATTCAGAAAAGCATTTGTTAAACGATTGCCTATAAGTTCTTTGTATTCTATAGTCAAGTAGAAGAACTGAACCTTTAATGGGGCACTTTTAAATTTTTTTTATTATTATTATTTTTAAGTATCCAGTCAATATAATGGCAGATTCCTGATCCTTCCTGCCGAACAGGACAGACTGGAATCTGAGGGAGAGGTTAGGGGAAGGGGTAATTAAAGAACTTTCACAGCAACCTGGGTAACATACCACTTAGCCTTGAGTTCAGGGATTTGTAAGGATAATGGTTTCACAAATAATCCCTGTGAATATGACTCCACACAAAGAAGTGGGGGAAAGTAGAAGGGTGGGAGAGACAGGGAGCAGATACAAGCTGCAGCTGAAGTATGCTGGCTTTGCAATACTAAGTAGCTGAACAAAGCTATCTGTCTTACTGTGCCTTTCCGTTCCTCCCACCCACTTTGTATTCGTTAATAGCACCGAAATATCATGCTATAGAAAACAGTTTCTGCAGAAGAAACATCTGGCTCCTTAAGGCTCAAGCAGTGGCTTTAAGATTTTCAAAATATTCTTCATTATACTTTGTTCTTTTAATTATTTATAAGTGATTTCTGAGAACAGGACAGTGATAAACTCTAAGTGGAATCCAGGGTCTGTTTTTCTGTTTTTCTTCTGATTATGTCTCTTTCCAGGTTGGATGAGGCTTTGAGCAACATGATCTAGTGGAAGGTGTCCCTGCTGATGGCAGGGGGGTTGGAACTAGATGATCTTTAAGGTCCCTTCCAATCCAAACCATTCTATGATTCTATGATATTAATCTGATTTTTAGGATAGTGTGAAAAAGAATGTTGCTGAATGGGAAATAGGCTGCAATTCATGCAGGTCACTTTATTCCACATCACAGCAGGACATTGGATTTTGAAGCTAAACTTGTAAACTTAGCAACAAAAGCGTGACCCATAAAATTCACCGAACCCCTTCTGGCACATTAAGAGGTACAGTCACACAGTGAGCTACTTCAAAGCCAAACCTCTCTGAGCAGCTGTCACGTAGCCTTGGGTACCATTGCTGCTCACTACACTTACAGCTCTTATTCCATGAAAGGGAACGTGTTGTCCTCCAGCCCTGCAGCCAACGTGCTGGCTGGTTGAACTTTGGTTGTGTCTGGGTAGGTGCTAGGTGAGTCCTGAAGCAAGTTGTGTCCTTTTTGGGTGTTCAGAGTTTTCTTTTTTGATGTATAGCAGAAAATCCACTTTAAAATTGCAAATTAACGCAGCACTTGATTAAGAAATAAAGGAGTATTATTAAAAGTTCTCTTTTCTTTGTGCAGAAACACGAACAGATAGAACAAAGAAACTGTTTAGACACTACACAGTTGGATCTTATGACAGCTTTGATGCTTCAAGGTAAGAATTTTTCTTTTTGGTTGCAATCAGTTTACAAAATCTCTCTGGATTTTATTAAATTGTTATTTTTGGTTTAGACTTTTGAGGGGAAGAGGAAAGCAGGTTACTAAACAGACCTTCTCAAAGTATCATTCTACTTCTAAATTGTTTTTTATCACAGCTTACTTTTTCATATGGGATGGGTCTACAAAAATAGTGAGTAATGAAGTAATGAGTATCACTATATTGTTTTCATGAGTGATGAGAGATCAGCATTTCACAGAAGAAGTATGTTCCAGCTGCTTCTGCAGTCAAGGACCACTTAAGTTGTTGGATGCTTCACAAGATCAGGCCTTCTATATCTGTTCACAGAATCATACTTGCTGACAAGAAAACCAAAATAAAATTTAGTGATTTGTTGTTCTGAACGGTATCTTAGATTCTAAGTAGAAGTTAGGCTGTTAGAAATGAAGAATTTAGAAATTAGAAATTAGAGTCTTTATTTGGAGTTTCTGCTGAGTATCCATTATTTTTAAGTAGATTGTTCTCCCACATGCATATACAGCCAACTTCTGGTAGAAAGGGTGATTTTTAAAGCACAGAACCTCAGTGAACTCTTGGTATCTTCTAGAGAAAATTGTGGTGGCATACTGGAGTCATTGCACTTTTCTCCTGACTGTCTAATTACAGCTTGTGATTTCTTAAGCTTTCAAGAAAAACCCTTTTTTGTAGGATAAAAATTCTGAAATGCATAAACCAACAATGGCAATGTCTAGTGCACGACTTTTATAAAATGAAAGAAAATGTGGTGGTGGTTGTTTCTATTATGTGATCTTAATCCTTGTTCTGAGGGTCATGCATAGTTTCTATGTCAGTTAAACAATTTGGGGAGTGAGGATGGAGTTCAGGTCAGTTAAAGTGGTTTGGATACCCCAGATGTCCCTCTGGGTTCCTGATGGTTGCTGTGCGGAGCTCTGAAGCCAGGGTGCTTGCTGGTTGTCTGCTGCATACAGCCTATAAATATTTAAAAAATTAAAAAATTTTAAAAATACATAAACCTGCAGTTTATGTATCACACCCTTGAGTTGTGATTTGAAATAATGTTGCAATGCTGGATGAAGAGGGAAGGTTTGGTGGCACGATGGGAAGAAGAACAGACTTGTGGGTTGTCTACAATCATCCCATCTTGGAGGCTCTGATCTTCCTGTTACTGTATACGGTGTGTTATAGGGCATCAACTCTTGCTGCTGTGACTTAGGAACAGAGAAACCCCATTTCAATATCTTGCATATTCCCCTGCTGTGATCAGCCAAGTTACCAGAGCTTTGCACTGTTGGACAACTCCATGATTGACTGGGTAGTCTAATGATTAAGTTGTCAAGAGAAGCTGTTAGTCTGTGCTATGAAACACATAACTCTGCTGCAGTATGGTTACTAGTGACATTACTGGTGAGCAGAGATGGCTTTTCACAACATCCTTTGAGTGATCATTATTCTATAAAATTCATAGCCTTGTCTCTGTATTTCAGTATTAATGGGTAGGGTTGTTTCTGTAAAGCTAGAAGCTGGGGCCGCAGCTTGTTGCCTCAGAGATACCAAATAATCCCACATAGAAACCTACTGCTACTTTCTGACAAAAGATTTTTTCATTAGAAAATGTCAGTTCCATCAAAACCTTTTTTTTTCCCCCCCTTTTGGGGGTGGGGAGCTATTGATTCTAAAGCATTAAGATTTTTTTGTTGTCCTTTTCCCAAGAAAATTCAGGTTCTTTCCTGGGAGAGAACAATGCCATCTGCCCTTCTGAAACATGCAGTACTCTGTTGTTTAGAGGTTATTTTGAAAGCAGGAGGCCAGAAGCCATAATCAGACCAAGGGCTTGAACCTCATCTCAGTGGTGTTCAAGTATGGTTTTTAACCAGTGAGCTGTTGGGGATGAATGGATTATACTTCCTGCTTTTTGGGAAGTCATGGAAAGTGTGTGAGATGTTTGGGGGTTTTGAGGGGAAGAGAGTGAGATTGTTGATCGGTTGTTGGCAAAACTCTAAAAAAATTAACATTACCTGATTCAGGACTACAGCTGAGCAGGAAAGTTTATCAGATAAAATTTTGTACACTCTTATTGTTGAGAAATTAGGTTTGAATTATGTCTGCAATTGTTCCTGATTCTGCCATTGATGCTATTAATTGTCTGAGCAGTAAGAGGCAAAGCAACAGAGCTCTCCTGGCAGCTTCTGAGAAAAGCAAGTTTTGAAGAAAACTCAAGGGTAATTTCCACAGAGAATCTGAAACCCAGTGGACCCATTTTGAAGAGTAATAATGACAATCCAGCAGTACAAGTGGAAATTGAGAAGGAAACATAGGAGAAATTAATGGGAAATTCCAAGAAATACAGTGGATAGACTGGCTTAACATACTTTTAAGCAGAGAAAAGGATAGTAGTTTTAGAATTTTTGTAAAATAATAGTAGGAAAACTAAAAAAAAAAAAAAAAAATAAAGAAAATTTAAAAGAATTGTTTTGGTGTCCAAGTTTCCAAACTTAGTTGCTGGAAAATAAAAAAACTTGTTTCTCTGTGGCACATATAATAACTTACTGGAATGATGTATTTACAGAGAACATATACCATGATGGAAGGGAAACTTCCTTTTTCATCCTTTACAAACATGACAGATAGTGAAACGCTGTTCTGATATTTTTTTCCTAAGCAAAACAGAATTTGAGGACTTGCTGTACTAAAACCGCAACAGCACACAAAGTTGAGTTTCAGATACTTGAATGAGGCTCCAAATCAGCTTTTTGAGCATCTAAATGATAATTTTACTGGTGCTTATGTATTGCTGGTAAAGAAAAAGAATTTGCATTTAAGAATCTGACTGGAGATTAGTATGTTTTGTTAGTATGTAAAGTATTAGTATGTTTTGTTAGTATGTAAAGTATTAGTATGTTTTGTTAGTATGTAGAGTATCAGTATGTTTTGTTAGTATGTAAAGTATTAGTATGTTTTGTTAGTACATAAAGTATTAGTATGTTTTGTTAGTATGTAGAGTATCAGTATGTTTTGTTAGTATGTACAGATTTAATTCCTAACATGGGCTTCTTTAGGGAGGGAAACTGTTAAAAGAGGCAAACAAGATGTCAAACTAACAGCAGTTCTTAGTATTTCCAAATTTGTACTGCTTTGATTGCTTTCTCTGTTATCATTTCCTAACAACGTAAAGGGAAGACTATAATAAAACAGCTTTAACTGCTTGCAGCTAAGTTTTAATAAACATTTGTTAGAAGGCAATTGTGCCTGTGTATTAGAGCTTTGAAACCAAAGTATTCACAAAGCTGATCCAGTTCCTTTCTGGAGATGATGTGGGGGAGTGAGGGGAAGTGTCTGCTCCCTTCTTTTTTTTCCTTCCCTCTCTTAAAGGGCAAAAATTGCTGAGTAGAAACACTCTGTTCAGAAATCTATATTAATGGGCTTATTCACATGCAGGAAAATACATTGTACATGGCATTTTTCATCTTTAGGAAAATGTGGAGCTTGAATAATGGAGGTTCATTAAATCCTATTTCAGCTTTGCATAAGGGATCAGTTATCCGTACGTTAATACTTCAGGAAAATGGGTAGTATACTTACTAATATGTAGAAAGGCAGTGAAACTTGCCTGCCAGTACAAATAGTCATTAAATATCATACAAATATAATATTTGGAACTACCAGGTCTAATGTATTATCTGCTTTGAATGCTGGTGGGATACATTAATTCTCTTGGGCAAAAGTGATGTTGTCTCGCGCTGTTACCGCTGACATTCTTTGCATGGATTCCTTCACTATTTTATTAAAACCTTTTAAGAACTAATTACTTTCAATCATTTACCTTTAATCTGATGCAGATGGACAAATGTTGAAGGGAAGGGTAGGCTTTGTTGCAATGGCACACACGTGAGAGAGGGTAAGGTTTCTTATGCTAGCAGGAGCTCTGACTGGACAAATAGGAGTAAAGACATGTCCCTGGACATTTGTCTCAGGCTGGAGCTCTGGAGGCTGAGGTGACAAGTAGGATGGGCCAAGTCCAACTGCCTCCCCAGATGGAGGAAGCAGGCAGCACCCATGATATCAGACCCCAGGAAACACCATGGCCTGAGGGTCTATTTGCCTGACGTGATGTAGAGCCACACAGAGGAGCAGAAAGCAGGAGGAATCATAGAATCAGAGAATGGTTTGGGTTGGAAGGGACTTTTAGAGGTCATGTAGTCCACCCCCCCTGCTGTGAGCAGGGATGTCTTCAACTAGATCAGGTTGCTCAGCCCCGTCCAACTTGACCTTGAATGTTTCTAGGAATGGGGCATCTACCACCTCTCCGGGCAACCTGGGCTGGTGTATCACCACCTTCATTGTAAAGAATTTCTTCTTTGTATCTAGTCTGATCTCCTCTCTTTGAGTTTAAAACCATCACCCCTTGTCTTAAAGAGCAGATACACCAACAAAGTTGCAGGGAGATAACATGAGACTGCTCTGACATGTCTCTGGAGTTTTGTGTCTTCCCTGTATTTGTGGTCAGCAGTGGTCAAGACAACCATGGGACAGTGGTTTTGAGAGCTGGGATGGGAGCCAATCCCATCGAGTTTGTTAGGAAAAATGTTTGGTTGGGTCTGTCTTGTCTAGGCTGTATGGGCAATATTGTGACCAGCAAAGCAAAAGCTTCCAAAGTGTTATAAATATCCTTCAGAAGTCTAGTTAAAGTTCAATAATACCTTTAAGTTAATTGTAGGTCTTAAATGAGTTATTTCATGGAGTCCTCTTTCATCAAGGTCAAATTCCAGTTTCATAATATAAAATCTTGCTGAGGCATAGAATGGATGTTGCAATTAAAAAAAAAAATCTTTATTTTTCAAAACATTACAAAAAAGACAAACATTTAGAAATGATAAATTTTTATCTGCTTTTTAATGGAAGTGAGAGAATCGATTAATTTTCTCAAGATAGGACAGTGAATTGTTCAATCAGGAAAATAAGAGAGAAGACAAAATTAA